GCTTGACTTTGTGAGTACATGTGCTTCCAAGCCCCACGCTCGGCGAGTTAGGTGTACAAGTAGCCACTTTCAGTACCACTGAAACTTAGAAGCTGTGAATGAATACGATGTATTGAGACAGGCTTCGATGGAAGAAAGCCAAACTGTTTTTTCCGTAGCGTCCACTTGTTAGTTGGCCTGACTGTCTGATAGATCAGCTGATAGATACTCAGAGTCGCACTCTCAAGAGGTCTATCCCATTTCACCATAGTCCCGTTCCACCTCGACCCTTCAAGATTGGTCTGTCCCGTGTTGATTTCGTAACTTCACCCCCTTGGTGATGCGTGAAGCACTGGGGAATGGGAGCGTCTAGTTCAACTCAATCAATATGAGCGACTGTCTCATCAGCATTTATGTTCAACGTTGATCGTATCGAAACATACTTTTAACGTGAAAATGGAGACTTTTTAGGCTGAAGCAAAGTTCACCATTTCTCTCCACTCATTTTTGTTCGCAAAACAGATAAAGCCAGGCGTAGTGTCTATACATTTGTTTTCCACCGTCAGCCTAATTCGTTTGCAGTTCCACTAAAACGACCCTTTGTCGATGAACTACTCGGATGGATACTCCAAGATATAAGGGCTAAACTTCTGGGTAGAAAGCCCTTTACTTGGCACGCCGTTCATCAGCCTTTGAGAAGGTAGTTCTTCCTTCTTCATACCAATTGCTAGATATTGCTTCCCAAGGAACACTAGTAATAAGTATTTGGCCTCCCTCTTGAAGATAATCCCCTAAAATCCTTACTGAAAGGAAACGTTGTTCTGAACTGTTTTTGGGGATTGGCTTAATTTCAAAGGCGATCTAAAAGTTGTTTAGACAACTGGTTCCAGTCCCTCATTGGGCGCTGATTTTGAACAATTACAGTAATGTGGAGTATTTTGAAGGAGATTTCATCCTGTAAGGCAGGTTAGTCTGAGCTGAAAAGTCGAGAAGCACTGTACAGCTGCTTCAGCCCTATTGGGAATCCTCGGTAACTCATGAAACTCCAGGGAGTATCGAACCAGCTGGTAGTTCGAACACTTAACCGCTCAGCGGTGAGCGGCTCGGGAAATCAGTCAACACATGATCAGGTGACGAAATTCACATGGTTGAAGGATGAGCGGTGCTTGAGTCAATCACACTACCAATCAGCAGCCCGTCACAGAACGGTTGGTGTTTTGGCTACTGACCAGAAGGTCGCGAGTTTGAAACTCTTCGAGGTTCGTGAGATGCGCATTACTGATGATTCTCATTAAGGATGAAACAACTTTAAAGTACACCTCGGTTTTTTGGACGAAATCCCAGCTGAAGGTTACCAATTCCTCTCTCGCCATAGTGTGTTGCCCCAAAAGAGTCGGTACCCGGGCGCTATCGTTTTTGTAACTATTTTTAACCCAACAATTCTTTGGGAACTTTAGGCACGTTTCCCCTTTTTGCTGCATAAAATGGAAACCAAGGTAACTTTTGCTAGTCGGTCCCAGCCTGCCGATCGATTTTCCAGCTGGCCAGGCTGCATTCCAAGTCACCCGATCAACGTTGCCTAGCAACAATATTGATCGGAACGGATTAACTAGCTATTTGCCATCCTTATTTAGTTGCCCAAGAATTAACTATTTCTCTTAGTTCATGATGGGTCACGTCGTGACGCAGGAACTCGTTGAAGAGCAGTGTTGCCCTCTAGCATCGTGCGTGTATCTCGTCCCAGCCTGCCGATCGATTTTCCAGCTGGCCAGGCTGCATTCCAAGTCACCCGATCAACGTTGCCTAGCAACAATATTGATCGGAACGGATTAACTAGCTATTTGCCATCCTTATTTAGTTGCCCAAGAATTAACTATTTCTCTTAGTTCATGATGGGTCACGTCGTGACGCAGGAACTCGTTGAAGAGCAGTGTTGCCCTCTAGCATCGTGTGTGTATTTCGGTAGAGTCACCCACGATTTGTCAGTTTCAGTTGTCACGCCTCTTCCATACCCAAGCGTCTGGACGTAGTAAAAGACTTGATCAAAAGTTGTTTGCAGAGTAAATCATTTGACCACGGGAGTGGTGGTTCAGTCAACCCGACGTTAGTGAAGCGTGTGAATGGTTCAACTTCAGCTGGTTCCTTTCTTCGCGTTTGGAGGCGATATATCCCGACTGGTAGTTGCTGGCCGTCTCGAGGTTTGATTTCAGAACTCAGTCAGATTCACAGTCTGTCACCGCATTGGACTGACTACCCACAGGGCGTATGATGCTGCTGAGTGTTAGTCAACAGTGGTGGTAAACGAAGGGAAACTTAATATTTCAATCCACTCTTTCGAAAATGGAACTCAAGTTCCATGCCACGGGTGATGCTCAGTGTTCCGACGAACAGGAATATGTGTAGAATAACCTTTTTGCTGTTCAGTCATACACTTCACTAGTGATTTCTTGGGGAGCGAAAATAAACGGATCGTATAACTGGAGTGAACAACCACAAAGTCAGTAGGACCATCCAGGTGCGCATACAAACCGATAAAACGGTTTTTAATAGGTCTGGACAAGCAGGATATAGTCGTTCGAGCTCGGTTTGCAGTTTATTCCGTCTGTCTCTAAATGTGTTCCTTTTTTCGGTTGCCTCGTTCGACAGTGAGCGCGTAATTTTGTCAATGGTTGAAGCTAGTCATTAGTATCCAGCGGACAGAATCTATTGCTTGAACCCCGTATAACTGAGTTGATCCGCAATCGTTTCTGTCAACTTTCACATCTAATGGGTTCCTAACAGTCTCCACTTGACCCATCTGTCATTCCCCTCCGGTTGTGCTAGTCCATTAAATGCCAGAATGCATGGTCCATGCAGTACATTTCCAACGAAAGCAGTCTTACATAAGTTATCCAGAGCGGCATAGTTGCATACATACCATAAACCACGGGATTATTCACTGGGAAAGTGTCTTCCACTATCCCCATGACCTTCTCTTTCCAAAAACAAGTCACGTGACCTTATCGTGTCATGTTTTCGCCTAGCTAACACCGTTAACCCATTTCAGATTGTCAAGGCTTTCAAGGCTCTCCTATACAATGAGATTCGTGCAGCTCCGGTGTGGAACTCCAAGACGCAATCCCTCAGTTCCATGCTGACCGTCACAGACTTTGTACAGATGCTTCATCTATGCTGGTCCGAAGATAAAACGGAAGTGAATAACAAAAGACGCTTGGAAATTGATGATTTTGATCGAATGACCATACAGCAGTGGAAAGGTGAGTAGATTGTATGATAAGCGTTTTGGGGAGCAATATTCGGGTCTCGCTTTCGAAAATACTAGATGCGGCAAGCTCGTATCAGAGGTTGAGAGATCGGGAACTCTAGGCAAAGCAGCAAAACTCTTGTCACGCCTCCTTGTTACTTGCCCTCGCTTGACCCCCTGAAGAGCATGAAATCTAAAGGGCAAAGTTGTCAGTTCTCGTCCATTTCACAAGGTAGATGTCATCATTTCCTTCATTTTGTGCCTCAACGATTCAGTCTTTTACGGTTATCACACGGTGAATACGCTATCTTGGGGTTTTGCGAGATAGGTATGTTTGTTCATAGCCACACCACTCTCGTTTGAACAGACGTCCTCCTGTTCTGGCGTAATTATTCTGGTGAGTCCACATCAAAGGGAAGCACTGGACTCGAGTTTCGCTCTCATTAGAGCTCATCATCTCGAACCGCCGTTGTCTCAGAACTTGGTTGAAACTGCAAGCTAAGGTGACTGGGCCATGTGTTACGCAGGCCGCCTGCCGACACGAGCACTGTTTTCTGTGCGTAAACCTGGAGGTGGACGGATTTTGACGTGTCAGAAGAGAATAAAGGATGCGATTTAAGTGCTGTTGGGGCCGTTTTGATCTTCCACGTGACCCTTCCTGTGATTGGCTGGAGACAGTGAACGATATGGCGTTCATGCTGGCAGATTGTCTGACTGTATGTCGGAGGTGTATACACCTCGGTTGTTTGTGCTGGGCTTGCCCTAGGTCCCTTCCCCACCTTCTTCCTCGGATTATGAGGCTGTTTTTAGGTAAACTGACGTTCGTACGATACTGAAACAGTGAACGACGTTCATGCTGGCAGATTGTCTGACTGTATGTCGGAGGTGTATACACCTCGGTTGTTTGTGCTGGGCTTGCCCTAGGTCCCTTCCCCACGTTCTTCCTTGGATTATGAGGCTGTTTTTAGGTAAACTGACGTTCGTACGATACTGAAATATCCGCGTTCTTATCCGGTGTTGCTGTCATTGACACTAATGACATGTTTTAAGATCACGTGGCTGCTGAATATCGCTCATCTGTTGCAGTATAGAGATGCAGACATGTCGGTATCAGTCTCTCTCCATCCCCCCATGTTTAAGCCAGTCAAATGTAGATTATCACCGTTGACGTCAATCGCTCTGTTTGGACACAGAGGACAGAGTTTCTTGACCTGATAGCGATTAAATCTATTGTAGCTAAGATAAACAGTCTCACAGTCTTTAGCCGATGTACTGGAATACGAATTTCACACATCTTTGGATTCAAACTGTTGAGTGATTGAAGCAGTCGTCGCCACACCTTTTCGAAAACAACTCGAAAGACGCTTCCGGTGCTTTCTCATCTGCAGAGCTCATGAGGAGATTTGCAACCGTACTTTATGATGCAGTTGAAGAATAAATTGAATTCGTTCCTCGTGGGACTGCCCGCAGGAACCACGAAATACCATCGGGTCCTCATGCCCAGACATGAGCACAGGTAGGACTCGAACCAAGGACCACCCGGTCAGTGAGTTCGAGCCTTAACAACTGAGCTATCTTGAGCCTACCTTTCTTGGTAGAACCCAGCTGAGTTCTCCGTTGAAACCAAACTACTGTTTACATTGGTGTACTTCGCGGAAAGCATAGTTGGTTGAAAGCCCACTGACTGGATAACGAAAACGAAACGCCAGTTTAGGGCCACCTATCGACACACGACACTTTTGTTGGCAGTGTGGGAAAAGTTGAAGATTCTGTCGTTCGTGTAAGCCAAGCCAACCTTTACTGATAAACCTAGAAGCACTGTACACTTGTTTCATCCCAACTGAAAAACATCACTCGAGCGCATCTCACGAAACTAATCCGTTCAACTTGTGTCTAAACACTGAGTTATGTTAATCTACATCTTGTTTGCAGATTTTATCCGGCCCGAACAGCACACAAGATCCACGGCAAAACGAGCCTCTGTCTCCGGCGCCCTATCATCATCTACTGAAAGCCGTGTCATCAAAACCGGTAGTCTGCCAAAGAAAAAGCATGGTTCATGCAATCTTCCTCAGGTGACCTCCTGTCCGTCGTCCAATATCTCTTCTCCATCACGATCTCGTTCCCGCTCTTCATCATCCACCTCATCCAGCAGTCAGTCGTCAATTGCCTCCCTTCCGTCCAATCTGTCTGCCCTGCCTGATGGCAAATCTGAAGAACAGACAGATCCTCACACATCTGACAACAAGACACCCGTACCCGGCTCGTCTTCCGATACTTTCTGGTCAGCTGCCTTCTCAGCCCTTCCCACCCCTCGGACGACTTTCATTACTCACAGCCGACTGCTTACAGTCGACCCGGAGGAAGATTTGTTCAAGTCCCTACGCATTTTGTCTCGCTTCCGGTTACACTATCTGCCTGTGATAGACTGCCCGCAACAGCGAACCGGCAACATTCTATACATATTGACGCATCGCCGACTGCTGAGCTACCTGTTCAGCAAACTGCCCCATCTTCCTCAGCCAAGATTCCTTCAAGTAAGCATTCTGGAACCTTTTTCATAAAGGAAACTACTACTGCTGAAAACTCTTCGACAGCCCACGATGGGTTTCGCCCTTCCTGGGGCTCATCAAGTAGGCGCAGTCCCCGAGTTTACGTCAACCCTCATGTTCCACTTGAACTCGAATTGAACTGTTTTCGAGAAATACAATGGTATCCAGGAATTGTATACCTGAACCCAAATTGGACTGGTTGTGACGAGTACACTCATTTGCAAATCAATTTGGTTTTCACATTTGTAAATCAATTTGGTCTTCACAAGAGACTCAACTGAACCTCTCGTTTATGATATGCTGCAACTGAATGTGCTGCACACAGGCTGCCTCATGTTTCAGTTGGCAGCATATTCGAGATATCACAGTACATTTCCATATCTTGAACGAGAGATTCAGCTGAGTCTCGTGAAAGCCATTCTGAAGCCTGTTAAGTTGATGCTTCCTCAGTCGGACGATGTTCAGCTACACATTGATTGGTTCTTTCCCGCAGTTGCGAGAGTTACTCAGTATTATCCTTTTGTAAAGCGAGGGATCGTTGGTCACGCATCTTTCGGAGTATTTGATCACTGCTCATGAGCATCCTACGGTTCGAAATACTGGGTCACAAATGACCACTTTCAAAGTCCTTGCGTCGAGTCTACTGCTATTTTATTAGTAGTTGGACTCCAGATAGCGTTGACAAAGTCGACGATTAGGGTTGTGTGGTCTGTCACTAACGGGGATCAAGTCAGGTCAGCTGTTTGCAGGGTTCCATGTCCGACAGCCTACTCACTCGTACTGACTGGTCCCGTAACAGCAAACTCCATCGTGTGAGGTTCCCAAATACCGAGTGTTACTCTTTAGGCGAACGCCAGCCATATCGTACTAAAACACATGTTGATAGTCATGGTTGTGGGTTTCGCTGAACTGGGGGTCTCAGATCCTTGAATGTTATGTTTACAATGTAGGTGTAGAATACTTTGACGTATTCGGGAAAGTCCACTTGAGTGACGCGCAAAATCACAAGCCAGAAATTGTGGATTCTTGAGATTTATCAAAAGCTGCGGTACTACACGTATAAAATAGGTCATAAAAGGGGTACAAACCTCAAATTATGAGGGTATCCGTCCAAACTGTTGCACGAAGTAGTGCAAGTCCAAAGAAAGCCCGAAGAAGATGGCAACTGGGTCTTAGTTTGCGACACACGCCTGGGCACAACACGTGGTGACGCAAAATGATCAAAAAGCGCGCGTAAATGATGGTCGACCAAATTGGTTCGACAAGTCAAGGGTTAAAAGTTCAAATGCATATCGAGTCGATGAGGTAGACGCGGTAAACACTGGCAGACAAGGGAATAGTTTGACCGGGGGAAAGGAAGTACAGTAGGTTTGCGTACAACTACCGTTTGGCCACTCAGCGTTGCAAGTGCTTTCTCTATGGAGCCACTTTGAGTTCCTGTTACCACTTATAGACTGGTTTTTGTTGTCGTTCGTCTTCTGATTAGCTGGCGTCAGGTTCGACACCTGTATTCTCCCTGCGTGAAACTACAAACGTTCCCTGGCATGCAGTCTCATGCGTGCATAGATCGATCGGCCAGATAACATACGGAGCACGCTTTGAAAACCTACAAGTGTTCTGCATAAACTCAGCAGTCTAATGCATAAGGCTCTTTGAACGTTGCTGAGCGCACATCAACAAATTCCCTTCGAGTAGCCAAGTCTCTGAGAAGCAGGAACCCGTTCCTGTGAGGGTCACCTGAAGTAGAAGGTCAATTGATCCCTCTGCAGTCATCAGTGCACGCCAGTCAGAAAGACAAGAGTCACATCTGCCTTAATGAAATCTGAAGTCTGATTCAAAGTGATGATGAGGCACCTTGAACTGCTATGATGGTGACACCAGCGCGCTGTCGCGAGGATATTCTTGCCCCAAAGCCTCCAAAGTATGGATCTGGAAATCAGCATAGCAATACGATATTCCATGTAGTCACAATTTCCGGGTGCTTGCTTGCTCTCATAAGGTGGAAAGTCGTATACGCATAATCTAGCCCAGCGTTGAGTGCTACTCACTCCCATTTTGCCTTCGCATCAACTGACTACACAACAACACTGTGCATTATCCAACGTGTCTTCTTTTTTCCAGTCCAGTCTAACTGATCTGAATGTTGGCAGCTTCGGTCGTATTGTCATGGTTACCCTATCAACCAGATTACGCGAGGCTGTGGCATTGTTCTCACAGGCTCAGGTGTCCCCGTGGATTCACGGATAACCGACGGCTGATTACTTTGTTTTCCAAATATGATGTCATCGTAAGTTGTTTGCCTGCTCTAGTCTTGTTTCCACCTTGTGCTCACTTTTTCCCATCTTTCCATATCGTTGATAGGTCATTTTGCGAGTAGTATCACCACGAGTGGCAGATGTGTTTGATGAATAAACATTCGAGTCTCTATTTGCCCAGCGCACATTCTACCGATCACGTGATGGTAGTTGACTGGGAGACTTCATGGCTGTCCAATAAATTTGGCTTTTCCGCGTTTCTCGTTTCATAAGAGCGTTATTGGGGTGAGAAACGTAGTGGTTAGGGCGCAAATTTACTGACCGGATGGTCCGTGATCGAACCCGACCTCTGCCTCTCGACTTCCTCTGTCTAGGCTTGGGCAACCTGGTATTATCCCATCCCTTGTGTTTCCTTCAGGTGGCATGGCAGTTAGGCACCAAAAGGGTG